AATGCACGTGTGTGCAACGGCATGCGATAACCGATTTGGGCCCTTGGGTGGCTGGCAGGGTTATTGATTAACCGGACTTGTACACCAGTCACGTGGTTAATGGTGGGTGGCCAGCACCACGCCTGGCCGCCTTTGTCTCCCCGCACCAGGTCTTAATTTAAGGCTGAGTCTACCTAGGGGAGGCCCAGGGCCGGTTCAGATAATCGTCACCGGTTTTGGCCGTGAGCAGGAAGCGAACTCGGGTCGCCGGGATCGTAGTGCAGAGTAGCGCTAACCACTACACCACTGCTCCCCACGTACACAGACACACAAGATAAAGCTCCCCCGTGTAGCCTCTAGCAGGCTGTAGAGGCAAGTGCTGTTAGTAGAGAGTAGCAGCACCTCCACACAGACAAAGATCCCCCGTGTAGCCTCTAACAGACTGTAGGGGCAAGTGGCTATTAGTGGCGAGCAGTAACAGCGCCTATTGAGGCCGGCAATGTGCCACCCACAGAGTGGATGGTTGTGGCCCGCCCGGCCGCCTTTGTCTCTCCCCCAGAGATGACACTGGTTACGACTACACGCCGTTCAATTGCACAGAGGCTAGCTACATGGTAGCTGCAGCCTTAGTGGAAGAGAATCATCAGGTGAATACACTTCATCAGGTGAATACACTCCCCTTGCCAATATCAATATATGAGGTTTCATACCCTTTCTGTAACGCCTTTTGGCGTTTCCCTCTGGTCCAACACCGTCTGTGACGAGGCTCTAAAGAAAGCCGTCTCTGGTGTGGACCAATCAGTTTCAAAGACAATGCATCATCATATCCTACCAGAGCATGTTTATGTTTGCATGTTCACCAAAAGTCTATGCGGTTAATGCAGTGACATGCTTCCTTGTTTCAATTTGGCATTTTAACATCTTAACACAACTATTGTATTACTGCCAGAAAGGGGTAAACCCTATTGTTACAAGTAACGCCGGGCTCTCACAATAGCTTAGTAGTTATGTATGCATATGCTATGTTTTTTAAGAGAATACAAATTTCGTAACATATTTTTACCCCGGGCAAAGCCGGGTAATTACTGCTAGTAAGCAACACGACTGTTTAACTGCACGCCTACAAGTCGATGGCGATTACCTGTGAGCAGACATCAGGGAACTGCGATTTCCGTGCACACAAACTTAGGCAGGATGCACAATGTGCGTCGATTACCCCGGTGAACAACCCAACCGCTAATGGATACCCCCATTGACTTAAAAATTTCGTGACTGCAGGAATTCGTATTCTTGGTTCTTTCGGTAAAGTCACGTAGATAGAAAACCAAAAATTAAAATGAAGACCGCTTGTGTTGCGATCGAAACGACGTGGGTTTTTTGCTTTTATTTTCAATTTATTTTTAATGTACATTTTATTTGACCATTTTTGTGGTTTCTGCTTTTATTATTTTCTATTTATTATTTTTGGTTTTCTATCGACGTAACGTTACCGAAAGAACCAAGAATATGGATACCCCCATTGTCAATTCTATGCATTCTCACGTGAAGGACTCACAGGGACCATTTAAAAGTTGGTTACATCACCAATACAACCATCCAACAACAGAAAGGCCAGGACCAAAACAGAGAAGGGCAACAAGACAATCAGCAACTGAAAGGCCATCTCGAGATGGGATTGAAAAGATGGTAAGCGAGTTAAGGGCTGAAGTTGCAGAGATCAGGAGGTGGCGGCAGGATGATGTCACCCCAGACATCAATCGTGGACCTTGGATGGGGAGGAGGATGCGGGAGGATGGTGAGGAAGGAGAAGGATCGGAGGCTGCGGCTGACCGATCGTGGAGAAAGCGGCAGCATCATATACAAGCAGCATGGGCGGCCTGCAACTGCAGCTGCCCCACGCAGGGAACTTCGTCTTCTACCTCTTCCTCCTCCTCCTCCTGCTGCTGCTGCACTTTAACAGACGGCAGCGAGTAGCAGCAGCACTGTGGGACACTCGGGGCAGGAGGGGGGGGGCTAATTCAAGGAGGCTGCAGTCATGCAGTGACACACTCCAACCAAAGGACGAAGTGATCCAGCACTTGTACATGAAGACTGCGGCAGCCATTGCTGCCCCTAAAGGATGCACACTTTTGCACGACTCCTTTCACGGGAAATGGCTCCTACGAATTTATGGAAGGGGACATTCTTCACATAAACCTTTTTGCCTACATGGAGAAATGCACATCGCGGATCAAAGGATCATGACTTTACGATGAAAGATGTTATTTATCCCACTTCGAAAGCGGACGCTGCGATTCTTCAGTCCACTGCGCACGTAAAGAGAGGCGAGGTGCCAAAATAAGTCCCGGAGCAGCACCTCCGGACTGTTCCGGCTGTATTTAAGCGCCCGTTTACCAAAGTGAACGGCCAAATGTCGCCATTTGGGGACACGGCGAGAGGTTTATGACCCATTCTGATGACCGATGACTTGCGCAGCTTGTGGCCAGCAGAGGGCAGTGCAGCCTAATCTATCGCTGTACTGCACTGCGCTACCGTGCCTATGGCTCCTCGTCTTCAGCCACCGTCCAGAAGTGGATTAGCAAAAAACACAAGAGCCATTGCTTACAAGTCTGAAATGCTACTGCAGTATTCATGTGGTGGTGGAGGCATTGTGGCTCTGGATAGTTTATTCATTAGCAGCACCTCCCTCCCCCCGCCCCGATCCCTTCCCTGTGGTGATGGGACAAATGTTATAGTCACCAACCTATCTAAGCTGTGTGTTAAACTTATACACGATGGAAATAAACATTTAAATACTGCATTTCTAAATGTGTAAAAAAAAACACTATCATGACTTTAAAACAACAACAAAAAGTTGCACAATTGTACACGTTTCACTAAAGATAAGTGGCTAGCATACAAATGTGAGACTTCATAAAATGTGTACACTCGTCTCAGAGCGTCGGAGCCACGTCGGTACGTTGTGCACGACGTGGCTGGGTGGCACCGAGCCCCCGACACCGCCGATGCCCTGGGTTCGAATTCAGGTTTCGGCCACCCCATGATGAGACCAGATTCCCAAGCTGCAGGGCGAGATGGCAGTCTCCACCGATTTTCGCAGATATTTCAAAACGGGTTCTTCAATAGATTCGGCTAAACTCCCCAACCGCGAGACTTCCAACGCTGCTTTTTATCGACATGCTACGAACACCCTCTTGCGCTGCATACGAGAGAAACGGCGTGTGCCCGGAGACTTGGGAAACGCTTCATGAAGCCCGAGCCATCGTCGAGGTCCCACCTTTCTCTGCCACAGGATGGTGCACCTGCCGCTTGACGGCTCACGATAGCACAACTCGGAATAACAACGGAAGGAAAAACAACCTAGAATGTGAGTACACTTGAATGGAGCGAGCATGCTGTATATTGCATTGGCCATTTTATTGTTTTTTTATATATATACGAGGCCACTGCTTATTTTTAAATATCACGATGCCACTGCCATGAACTCCTCGTTTAAATACGGAAATCACACGGTTGCCTTGCGTTTTGCGTCCAACATCCGTCGTCTTGTCGCGGGACACATTGAGGATTCGGCGAAAATTTCAACGAATCAAGATCTCCGATTTAACACGTAGGCTTTCGCGACAAATATCATGCAGAATTTTTTTTTTGTTTTGGGTTAGATCGCGTAAAAAAATGAGTGTGTGTCATTAAACCCCGGCACCATCCGACACGCCCAAGTCGTGAGGTACACGTCCACGTAAACAGAACGTGACGATTTGTTACTCGGGGTAGTGGCGCAACGCACGCACGTGTTCATGACGGCCGCGCTCGGTTTGCCAGGGGCAGGCGGTTGGCGAGCCTCGGCACGGGAACGGCCGGGTGCGGGGAAGACCGTCGGTGTGATTCAAGTGGGACATGGACAGGAATTGAAGGGACCGGTACCTGTCAATCACACAGAGGAATCTTCCGGACAGGATGTTCTGGAAGGGTCGCGAGGCATATATATATAAGACGAGCGAACGAGCTCGGAGGGGCAGTGGGCCGAAGACAGAAGACAGACTGAAGTCGGACCAGCATAGGCTAGCTAGAGTATCCCTGTGCGGGAGTAGTCCGGTGTGGACTCGTATAGGCTAGGGGTAGAGGCGCTAAGGGCGTGAGCGCAGTCCGTACGTCGGCACGCTTAAACAACGCCGCGGCTGCCGTGGTATCGACCCGCTGAGACAGCGAGACACGGCAGCCGAAGCGACGAAGGATCGCAGAGAGTGAGACCGGGAGGCGGCGAGTGAGAGAGCCAATGAGCGGCGCACGGCAGAATCTCGGCGTGCTGCGTCAAGTGCTGTAATGTTGACATCGTGAATAAAGTGGCCCAGAATGAAAAAGACAATGAGTCGTCCGCCTCAAATCTACAACACTACACTAGTACAGCACTAACCGGTGTGTTGGAGAGCAAAGCCACAACATTTACAATCCGAGTACGACGTTTCGCCAGTAATTACAACCAGCTTCATCAGGCGACAGCCAGATTTGTGGAGAAATCCTCCGGTTTCGTTCCTTACATAGCGGGGTAGATGTGATGACGTCACTGTGGTCGGGTGGTGCCGGGTTTAACGACACACTTGTATATTTACACGATCTAACCCAAAATAAACCTGTATCATGGAAGAGCTCCGATTTGTTTGCGGGATGTACAGTACCGCGCGTCGCTCCGGCACTTGTGTGTGACGGTCTGCACCACGTGCCGGGCAGCTTCTCCAGGAAGTGAATTCAATTCTGGAAACCCCAGGACGTGGAGGGAAACGTCAGACATGCAATTGAATTGGAATCCCCCCCCACCCCACCTCACTCCCCCGAAATTGTTGGGAAGGTTGTGAATTTACAGCATCACAACGCAAGGTGTCGGAGCACGGTCGCCCGTGCAATAAATAGCTACCGCAAGAACTATCGTCATGGAGGAAAAAATATAACTAAAATAACGCAATGTGAGAAGCACCGGACCAGACGTCGACATTAAATGAGACGAGAGCGACGTCCCAAGGATGCAGAGCCCCGTAGCTTAATTCAAGCGGCAGTTTTTATTTCGGCCACAGCCTCCGTCTCGTCAACGACATCCTGCGGGGTCCCGAGTCCAGTCCTAGTCTGTGGATTTCGGAGTCATTCTCTCAGTCCCGTCAACTTTAACTCCAGAAGTCAGACATTTGAGTTCACACTTAATTGCGTTGGTGAGCGATGCAAGAATTTTGCACCCCCCCCCACCTCAGTATCATGTCAGCCAATCAGTGAACTCCATTCGTGGTTTTCTACTTGCATAACAAATCAACATTGTTGGTCTTCCTCCATGCATTTACAGTCTCGAACACATCCCAGTATTTTTCTTCAATAAAACGAGCTAATTCCGTCTCGTCGCAAGTCAGGTCAAGCTTTGCTGTTCATCGGACAGTCGGAGTTCATCGTCACACGCTTGATGATTTTCGGCCGCTTGCAGCCACCAGCGAACGGAAAATACATTTGTAAAACAAACAATAAAAAAAAAGCATACTTCGCCGGCAAATATTTTCGTCACGGATTCCTATGAGGGTGGTGAACTCCGCGTGCGTGCGTGCGTGCGTCGCCGCTATACGAAGAGCAGCGAGGAGTGTGGGGGGCAGTGGCAGTCGTTGTGGTGTCGCTCGCGCAGCCACGAACCCCGGCAGCCGGGCACCGACACGGCCGCCCAGAACGTCCTGGGTCGCACGCAACAACAACGACAACAACAACAACAACCACCGGGAACGTGAGCGAGCGAGCGAGAGCGTGAGCGCAGCCACGAACCCCGGCAGCCGGGCACAGCCACCCAAAACGTCCTCGTCACACGCAAGATACACAACAACAACAACGAGGACGACGATGACGACAAGGACGACGACCACAACCACCGCGAACAGGAGCCATCGCGAGCGCTCGTGTTGTTTGTTTTCATTGGGAAGTGGGGGCAGTGGCGGACATTTACTATCAACATTTGCATCAACAACAAAAAACAACTTGGCATTCATAATGCACCCGTAGCACAACAAACGTACGCATGCCCCGGAGTGCAGACGTGCACACGGGGAAACGGGAGGGAACGGGTGGGGACCGTGCAAGGGTAGCAGAGAAGGGAAGCAATTACGGGGGGGAGGTCCCTGAAAGCATGGGGTGAAGAGGAAGGCTTTGAGCGGAGACTTGAATGAAGGGGGGGGGGGCAGGGGGGGTAGGCAGAGTTTCCTGGGGAGAACATTCCAGAGAGGTGAGGGGGGGCTCGTGTGCTCGTGTGGTGAGGAGGACAGAATCTAGCGCATTTGTACCTGTGGTGACACGGCTCAGAATGAGATGCGTGGACTCAAAAATGTAACAAAAGTTTCACTCTTTAACTAATTTTCTTTTACAAAGGCCGAGTGAGCCACACAGCTCTCTGTCAGAAGCGACGCAGCCACAAATGACAGGTCAGCGAAGTGGCTTATCATCACGTGGACATTTATAGCGGCCAAATACTCTAAACGCGATGTCGATTCCAAATGTGGAGGGGAAAAACCGGAGGACCCGGAGAAAAATCCACGTGACCACGGAGAGAGAACAAGCGAACTGCAAATATACAGGCGTTAGGGTTGGGATGGAACCCACAACCTCCTGTAAATCAGGCAAGATAGTTAACATCTGTGGTGCCCTGGAGAGAACGTTCCAGAGGGGTGGAGGGCACATCGTGGCTAAAATAACGACCGCCATTGGTGGCGAAGCGGATATTTGGAGCGAGGAGGCCAGAGTCCAGTGCATTGGTACCTGTGGTGACATGGATCAGAATGAGACTCAAATGGAACAAACGTTTTAAAGTGCGCAAATACACGAGGAGAGGTGGAATTACGTGGAATGAGACCGAGAGATGGAAAAAGGAACACACGGATTTCGGGAACAAATGAAAATTAGGGAGGCATCGTGTTGACCGTTAAGCAAAGCAAGTAGGGGTCAGGCAGGAGATATTTGCAGAAAGGGACGACTGGCCGATCGACAAAACTGGCGATGGCATGGCCGTTCAAGAAGGAGTCAACGTGCCCAAGAGGGCACCCTCTGCGGAGATGGGGAGATACGAACAAGTCGTGGGCAGGAGCGAGATGGATTGTTGCTTCGCAGGACCGCTAGGGACAACGTCGGCATGGGTGGGCCGTCATCCATCAGTGGATAGAGCATGGTTCATCGTGATGACAGCGAATGAGACCACAGTTTGGTCAGCTTAAAAATAAATAAATAAACTCGGGTTAAATAAAAGCTCATTTCAGTTTGAAACCTACCTTGGCATCAACAACTGAAGAAAATGCGACAGTATTTTCACATCGCTTGAAATGCGAGCAGTCCCGCTTTGTTTTGGAAAAATGTTTTGCACCAACATCCCCCATAAGTGTGAACATGTATTTACAGCACAGCTGTTACTGCAGCGAAACCATTTTACGGCAACATAAATACCCCAACTACCAAATAACCATTCCACTGCATTGATTTCTTAGCATTCCACATCAACTTTAAGCTTCCCCCCCCCCCCCACCACATTCTTTCAGCGAAAACATATTGCATAATGAGACAAATCTGTCATGCTTCATTTGATAAACTTCCCCATTACAAAATTGTTACGATCCCCTAAACATTACCACTTTATATTTTCACTCGTTGCGCAACACTTTAAGCCTGAGCCACTGGGGAAAACCAAGCACTGGGTTCCCCATTCACAAACCCAAATCGACCAATTGGATTATATTGCCATACTCCACCTTTCTGGTCAGTGCAGGGAGGCAAATTTGGTGTGGGACCAGGACCGGTCAAGATGTTAGTCATGGCTGGGAATTGAACTGGGGTTGCTGGGTGCATAGCGCCAGTTGGCGTATCACTGCACCACCACCCCCCCCCCACAGTTGCTAATATTTACAGTAATATAACTTTAGCCTTACTGGACACTTCTAATTTGTAAAAAAAAAAAAAGAAACATAACTCGGCCGTAAATACCGATCAGTTGAACCAATCGTGAAAATTACACTGCCTAACTTGATCTCTCTACACAACCTCGGCCTGAGGAAGACAGGAGCAGCTAGCGAGTACAAATTAAGGCCGGCATGGCACACAATGGGGTGGGGGTGGCCAGCACCACGCCCGGCCGCCTTTGTCTCCCCAGCGGCGATGTTTACACACCGCACCAGGTGCTCATTTGCGGGCCGAGTTGACCTGGTTGATGCCCAGGACCGGTTCAGATCATCATTACTGGTGGCAGCCGTAAGCGGGAATCCAACTCGGGGGTCGCCGGGTTCGTAGCACGGAACACCAACCCGCTGCGACCACCACCACCACCGCCGCCACAGTGACCGTGTGTCACGGGGCCCACACACAAGCCAGCCTCCCCCAGGCCCACCTGGTGCCCTGCACGCCGTCCCCCGAGCAGCGGCCCTCGCCCCGCCGGACCGCCTCGCCCTGGCACTCGACGCACACCCTGCGCCCGGCCTGCAGGAGACGGAGCCACGGAGCCACGGCGCTCCGGCTGGCACAGGGCGACGACGCGTCGTCCACGCGGAAGAACACGCACGAGCTGGGGGGGGAGGGAGGGGTCAGTTGTGATATTTGAGTCCGGTCAGTATGTAGCAATACAGCCAGTAGGTTGTGGACCAAATCGGGGGGGGGGGGGGGTGGGGCGGTGGAGGAGGGGGCAATCATGCACGCGGGCACGTCACTCGTGATCTTCGAGTCCGGCCCGGTATGTGGCAGTACCAGCAAGTAAGTCACGGACCGTTGTGTTTTACAATGCGTTGTGGTCTCGTATGCGGGTGGTCCTGCGGTGTAATGGTCGGCGCACTGGACTTTAATACGTGCATTGACAGCTCGATCCATCGGCCTTCTGGCCCAACGTGTGTAATCGTGGCAGCAAATTGTTGGCGATATCGCGGGTGCAGTGGTCAGCAGCGCGCACACTGGACTAGCAAATTCAGTGCGGGGCTCGTGAGCGGTGGTGTCTGCTAGCGTTTTACTGGACGTGCCGGCATCTCGCTTTTAAAAAAAAGTGGGGTCGCTTACAATGCAAACACCATCCTCCACTCGTACCCCGTGGTCAATACACCACCGATGGATGAAGGCCTCCTCATGCCGTGTAGATAGTGGAATTCGTTGGCCATACTTCACCACGCTGGTCAGTGCGGGTTGGTGAAGAAGACACCCAGGACCGGGTCAGATTTCGCTCGCCGCTGATGTTAGCCGTGCCCGGGAATCGAACTCTGATCGTCAGGTTCGTAGTGCAGCACGTTATATCCTCTGCCACCATGGCTTTACTAGATAAAATAATAACTGAAGATAATGGTAATATCATGGGACCTCCCCTTTGCCTGTACCAAAACATGATAATAGGTTTTCCCCTTTTTTCAACGTTTTAACTTCACTTGACTCTTATGTTTGTCGTGGTCAAATCTTGTAATCAAGGCGTCGTCAACTTCCCGTTGTCCAAACGAGTTATTTACTCTTTAGTGCACTTAAAAATAAAACCGTTGTTTTAAAGAAACAATTTTTAAGGAGTTTATTCTGGCAACAAAACAGGTGTTAAGATGTTAAAACACCAAACTGAAACCTTTTTCAAGGAATCATGTCTGCATTAACCACAATACTTGTGGTCAGAATGCAAACAAAAAAAACACTGATATTATATGCAAAGGCGTCCTCTGGTCTAACATCGTTTGAGACGAGGCTCTAAAGAAAGCTGTCTCTGGTGTGGAACAATCAGTTTCAAGGACAATGCATATATTATCAGAGTATATTTTTTGTTTGCATTCCGACCACAAGCACTGTGGTTAATGCATACATGATTCCTTGTAAAAGGTTTCAGTTAGGTGTTTTAACATCTTAATACCTGTTTTGTTGCCAGAAAAAAAAGGGAAAACCCTATTATCATAATGGTAATAAATGGCACGGATGTTCATTGGCCAGGAAAGCCTTACCGTGTCTCAGGACTCATTTTCATGGTGGCCCTAAATTGGGTTTGACAAATCCTATTCGTGAGGTGGCTTTGTGTAGGAAGAATCCAAAGCACCCAGAGAAAACCCACCACACATCTACGCGCAGAAATATGCAAGAATCGAATCTTTCACTCCAGATCTCTGGACCACCCTCGTAACTCCAGCCTACAACAGTGACACCAACCGGGTAAGTTTCGCGTCCATCTACTAAACGGGCTCGAACCAGCTGCTTAGCTTTTGGGATCTGGCGAATTTTAAGCACATTCAGGGTGTAATGCCACGCGCAGCCTGTGTGCATCAATCTACTGTCGGAGGAGGGCTTGCCTACACCATGCGGGCAGTGAGAGCCATCAGATTACACTTCACCAAATGCGCAGTATAGGCTGGTGAAGGTGGGGGCCGGTTGTGGTTGTGGGGTGGGTGGTGACAGCAACAATGGGATTTGCTGCAGTGCCCCCGACTGTCCAGAGAATCTGCTACACGAGTCTAATGCTCGGTGGCCATCTATCAAAGCTCTAATCCAGGCTTTAAAAAATCGGATCAGCTCCGGGCGTCCGATAGGATCGGGCGATATCGTCACGGGCTGTGAGATCAGGAGGTCCGAATTTAGGGTGAACTTCGGCACTTCAGTTTGCGGTCGACCTTCGAAGTGGACTGCGACCCTCAAATGAATGGCGCCGCCCGGATGGTCGCCCCCCGCCCCCCGCCCCCCCCCCTCCCCCCACCGTGATACGTGGCTCAAACAAATCACTCGAGACGCCGGAATAACAGCAAGACGAGTTTATATGAATGCGGTCACGTCTGGTGCAATGGTCCTCCGCTAATTTACGCGTTATGAATGAATCGGCGTCGTTTTGCTAAACATCGGAATCCTCACCTGGTCGCGGGCTCATTTTTCATCATGTGGGGCCTCTTCCAGGGGTCGTTTGTGCTCCGTGTGTAGTAATTTGGCAGCAGCTGGGCCACTTCTGCGGTGCGAATGTCAAGAGGGACACAGAGCGAGACGTTGGTAGAGTGCAGTGCACCCGACGGTAAATGGTATCGGGTCGCATCGTCAACGGTCACACAAAATGTTACGACATGCCCACAAAAAAATATATTTTCCGAATGTTATTGTTTTTTTTATCGCTATCTAAGGAAGGTAAGCCGAGTGTCTCTAAGAACAGAGCACCAAGCTGACACCACCGAGGGGTTCCAATCCAGGTTTCTGTCACCTGTGATTAAACCAGATGCCCAAGCTTGGCACGCAAAAATAACCCATCGCATTAAATTTAGTTCTGTGCCTAATGTCACAAAATTCCAGATCTGAGAATTATTTTTTTTAATGCTTTGAATGTCATCCAAAGAACATTACCCTCTGTGTGATAGGGCAGTTGGGAAAGTGGCGCCCCCTACTGTGTGCATCAGAGGTAGCTCTGCGATATCTACTTCAGTGGGCCGCTCTTGTCAGACAATGAATGGGTCCGCACTGCTCTGCAAAAGATCCGGATGGAACTTATTTGTCTCGTGACAGTAATTGGAATCTGAATATTTAGACTGGAGGAATCCGATGAGCCATGAAGCGCCTTTTCACACATTGCAAGTCCACACAATGCCGGGTATAAAAATGGGGAAGTTACAAGAAGAAGAAGAAAAAAAAAGGCACACGGTGATTTTAATAATTACCCAAACCAGCTGTGCGCTGGCGGAATTGGTACAGGCGATCCTTAATTTCATGTTACGCCACTGGAGTTGGCCGTCTCGCCAACGTGCCGTGCCGTTCACCTCGTATGCCCTGGCACAGCTGGAGCGAGTGGCTGTAGCAGCCCTGGCGCTGGCGCAGGTGGGGACACTTGGCTCCACCGTTGTGCGGAGGCACCGTCACCTGGCGAATGCGTTCCCGGCTGCCCACGCCGCACGCGCTGCTGCAAGGGGACCAGGCGCCCCAGCCCAGCACCGCGCAGTCTGTGGCTGCAACCACGACGAGACAACGTTAACAGGGGGGGGCACAGACGAGGCAAACTCGGGCAATGTAAATGACAATTCATAATAAAGGTTTTTAGGTTAGATCGCGTTTATTTATAAATGTGTCGTAACCCTCCACCACCCGACACGGCCAATCAGCAAAAAAAGTGTCACGTTGACAAAAGACAAATAATTCACTACTTCAGCCCACCGGTGTGTTGAAGAGTTAATCCACATTTACAGTTTGAGTACGACGTTTCGCTGGTAAATACTTCCAGCATCATTGGTCGCGAAAGCCTACGTGTTAAACTAACTAAATGACAATTATTTTCACCAGATTTTGCAGCGGGGGTGAGGCTTCTTAAATTAAATGCCGCTGGGTAGAAATGTGTTGTTGGTAAGTGCACGCCTGCATACATGGGTAGGGAAATGTCACTGAAAAAAATACTTATTTACAATGTTATGACCACACAATGCTGTTGTGAAGCATTGTGTGTCAATTAAACTAAAATAACCAAACTCCGATTTGACTCATCCACGACCGCAGCGCGGAGCCTGCAAGTTCAAATCTCTGTTGGGGATTGACTCTGGCCCCAGAATTCCTCCGGGATGGACAAAGTATGCACCACTTTACAAGAAGTCATCGGCCGTTGTCTTCTCCCCCAGGCGCCGCTCGCCATGTAAAATGCTGGCCTCAACCGTGGGACCGTGGAATTTCCACCAGCGGCTGCCAACAACGGACCGGCACAGACGCGCGATGTACGTTTGAGAAGGCGCTATCGATGTGCCCGTCACGTCGGCAAATTACGCAGCAATCCATGTATTAGGTACACCACACACTTCGTGCGATCCTTCTCAAAAGCTGCTTTAATTTTTGTTTTATTTTACCGGGTAAGGCCCATTGAACTTGATAGTTCCTTTTCAGAAGTGACCCGACCACAAATGATAGCTCACACGAAGTTGGATAATATTTGAGACTTATAGCAGCCAAATGGCAGGTGCCGTGTAGAACCATTTGAAAGTGAAATCTCGTTTCCGATGAAACTTCTGCCGATTAATTTTCAGCGAAGGAGTCCACCAACGGGCCGCCCTGCATGAAAACGCAAAAAAAGTTCGACTTTCGTGGACACTTTTCGTCAAATTTCGGCCCACGTCCTCGGCTGGTGGTTTTACAAAGGGCGCTCCCGCGCACGTTCGCGACGTGTTGCCGGGCTCGCGGCGTCGGTACCGTTCCACCGACGGCGCGCGCCGCGTGCATGGCGGACAGACGGAATTCGATGCCAGCACGGCGCGTCGTTGTTTTGACACCACCATTTCCATCGTAAGATTATGCGTGGGGGTGGAGGGGGAGATATTGAATGCCCCTTGCAAAGGATAAACAAAGCCCCTGGGGCTAATGGGTAGAGGCTCGGTGCGTTTTTTTTCCCCCAGCGTGCCACACGAGAGAGTCTCATGAAAGGCAAGTGTGCGTGCGTCTCCGTTTGGATCTCGGGAGCGGTGGTGCAGCGGTTAAGAGTCCTGCGCTACAAGCCCGGCAACCGGAGTTCGATTCTCGCTCACGGCTGCCACCAGCAATGATTATCTGAACCGGTCCTGGGCATCAACCAGGTCAACTCGGACTCAAATGAGACAAAGGCAGCTAGGCGTGGCGCTGGACACCCAAGCCCTCGTGTGCCGTGCCAGCCTTCTGTAGGTGCTCGCTAACAGCACTTGCCCAACAAGTCTGTGAAGGCTATACAGGGGACCTTTGCCTTGGGAGCAAGGCTGTTTACTGCAAGTCGTTCCAGCTCAGTTATGCACTGCGGGACATTTTACAGAGCGAATGCAGTCCACGGCGGATCTCCGTGACCCTCACGGACAGCTGGGATTTGTGACCTCCCCCACATTCCCCTTGCAGCCACGAAAATTTTCACTTAAATCACACGGCCCACTCATCAGCTGGATTGAATCTGGGATTTTTTTGTGCGTGTTTGGGCTCCTCGAGTCCTTCACTTGGCTCGTTTGCTCCAATTGCACTCACGAACACAGGCCTCTGGACAAACTCTCCGCTGCCGTAGGAATGTGGAATTCCCACAGCTGGGCACAAGGGAGATAAGGCGCCATCTCAACGGCCATCGGAGCAGGAAAGGACTTTGACTTTCATGTCGTGCGCCTCTCTGTGCCAGAAGGCTTTTTGACGTTAAGTTTTGCTTGCGCTTTAAGCGGCTCGTTTAAACCAGGAAAGCCGTCACTCAGTCTCAACTCTTTTTCAGGAGGGTCCTGCCAAGTGTTTTTGCAGTTAGGGGGGGGGGGGATGTTGCCGTCACGCCAATGGAGTAGTTTATAGGTAATTTTTCAATATTTGGATGCGGTTTGGCCAATACCAGTTGCGTTGCATTGTACGTGGGGGTGTTGGTGGTTAACTATAGGAAGAAACCATAAAATCCGGCAGAAAACCCATGCCGAACAAGGGGGAGGGACATTACGAACTCCACACAGATGGCACGAGTCGGACATCGAACCCAGCCCCCTTTTTTGCCGTGAGGCACAAGTGTTGGCCACCGTACTCACCCCTGCCGTCTTGTCTCGAAATTTAAAGCAAAAGTGAGAGGCACTTCTACGGCTGGCGTTTTTTCCACAGGAAAGTTAAAAAAAAACAAGAGAATAAACTACGCTATCGTATTGTAATAACAGTCGATGTGAAAATGTTTAGCGGGAGTCAATTTCGGGCCATTCTTCAAAAAGAGACCACAACAATTTACATTGCACAGTCTGTAGGAATCGTTGTAATGAACCAAACAAACGTGCTATCTAAGATAAAGCCGAGTTATGCTGCCGAGACGGTTTATGAAATTCTCTCGTCGCTATGAAATAGCACGCATGCATAAGCTACGTAAAACACAAAACCACATGTCCTCTTGAATTGTGTAGAGTCTTCAAAGCGGGCATGCGCCATCGTAGGGGTAGATTTATGGCAGCTCGGGGGAGGGGGGGGGGCACTTCTTTAGAAGTTTCGACGAGCAGACATCCACTTTAGAGCCACACAAAATATCCACTTAGCCCAGCGGTGCTCAACACCACGTCTAGTATGGTAGCACCTCAAATTGTGACTACCGGTCCCACCACCCCCGCCTCCCGGCTTCCCCTGCCACCACCCAGATTACAAACGTCACAATACCCAGAGAGATGACACGACATGTCCACGCCTCCAAGTCTGCCTGTACGGCGTCGGTAACGGCGTGCGTTTCATGGTTGCGGTGCATCAGCATGCTTTGTGTTGGTCAGGAATTGTATTCGCGTTGTGTACAGATCACCTCGTTTTAGAGAAGAGCCTCCATGAGGCAGGTAGTACAGAACCTGCTTCTGAGAGTTCCCTTCAAGTGAACTGGTTTAAGCAGCACGCTCAGAGGCACAATTTCATACATGCCCTGCTACAGATAAAGGTTTGGTCACATGGCAAGCTAATGTTTATTTTCTTTGGTTCTTTCGGTAAAGTGAGCGCTGTCCTCCAGACAGTCTCTTCCCTTCACCTGATGAAGGCCGCTTGTGTTGTGGCCGAAACGTCGTGAGCATTTTATTGTGTTATTTTATTTTATCAATTTATTATTGTATTCTCATTCTGCGTGACTTTACCGAAAGAACCAAAGAAAATGAATCCTTGCAGTCACGAAAGCTTTAAATCGAAATCTAATGTTTATTATTAATACTATTCCGAGAGATGAAATGTATCCAATTTCAGTAGGAGGGGGGGGGGGGGGAAACAAATTTATTGCAATGTTTTTTAAGTGACCCAAGCTCAGACCATCAACTCAATACACTTGCAGATCACGGGGCTGACGCAAAACGGATTCGAACCCAGGGTTCTTCAGCCCTGAGCCACCCGGCCACGTCAGTTCAACCGTTCTGCGCGTTCACAGTTTCAGCTGGCAACGATGGTGCATAATGTAACTTATAAGCGAGTACACCACTCATAGTCCAACATGCCTGGCGAGCGTGGAAGAGCAGGCCAATACCTTGTTAGAGGGGCTCATGAGCTCCCACTAAATGGAAGTTCTTCTGCAAGCGGTGATGTGAACAAGCAATTGCAGGGCTGCACCTTTAACTTTCCTTTATTATTATTATTATTATAAAAAAAGCATATTTAAACATTGCCGAGTTGCGTTCAACGCCACTTTAAAAATAAACAGGGCGATTGAGTGCTATTCCTCACAGGCCAAGGGCCACTTCTCTGATGGATTACATCAGCGTCTCGCAATGGTGTCCAATAGCGCAGCGGTCGTGCCTCGTGTGTTACGCGTGGCACCTGCGGTTTTCCCAGCGTCATGACACCACTTGGCACGGGGAAAACTAAAACTTTTTTTTATTTTTTCCACGTAAAGCCCGCAGGGCTATGAACTCTTTTTCAGAAGTGACCTTGCCACAAATATACGTATATTTAACTTTTGCACCGCGCGCGGCCAACCGTGCTAAATCCGGAGGTGCGACAGCTCAACTAAGTGGCTTACATGGAAATTTATAGCGGCCAAATAATCTAAAAAAACGCACGTTTCTAAAATGTGGAGGGAAAAAGTCAGAGGACCCGGAGTGAAACTCACGCGACCATGGGGAGAAACACAAACTCGGAATATTACAGGCTTCATCAGGGTCGGGATCGAACCCACACACGACTTCCTGCAGACCAGGCTAAGGAGATAACATCTCGCCACCACAGCACCTTACAGCGGCCAACGGCACTCATGCCGAGACGAGGCCAACAGTAAGAAGCACGGTCATGCACCGGGCTGTCAAAAGTCGTGCATTTTGCTGTTACGTAACATGTTGAGAGATTAAAAGTGTCAGTAAAACATGCCTTAGCCAGGTAGGCTAAAAACTAATTTTTATTTTATATATATTACACAAATGAACTACTCATTTGCACAAAGTCACGTGCCGGTATCAATGAGGTGGGGTTACAATGCATTTGTAGTGGCATCGGTGGAGGCCACGGCACGAGGTATAAGCCGCCCTGTGTTCGGCACGATGCGCGC